AAGCACCCTCGTGTCTGCTCCCCTGTGCAAGGAGCTGCCAGCCCCACCAGCTTCTCCCCCAGCACTGGCCCAGGAGGCTGGAGCAGCGCCTGCCCCGGGGCACGTCGCACACCACGGGGCAGGCAGAGGCTGTCACAGCCCTGCAGGCGGGGGCTGTAAAGCCAAAGGGCGTCAAAGACCCCAGGCCGGGGGGGCTGTGCCAGAACAAGCGCCGTGGCAGCGGGGAGCTGTGGAGATCCACGTTAGTGCCAAACAGGGGACTGGGGGGTGTTAACTGGAGCGGGCAGCGCGGAGGACATTAGTAACTGCAGACGCTGACTGGGACACGCAGCTCAGCGACCTGCTGGGGGTTCTGGCCATGCCAAACGGTGCCTCTGACAGCTCACAGGTGGTCACGGAGTTAGTTCAGAAGAGGGTCCAAAGCCAGGCTAAGGTTATGCAACTGGCCCCAGCTACCAATGACAAATCCTTGTGTCTCCAGCGGCCGCATCACCAGAGGATGATGAGACTGCCCCGGGGCAAAACGGGCTGGGGCAGGAGCTCCATCCCAGCCAAAACACCAGCTCTGGGATTCACAGGGCTTGCTGTGGCTCAAAGGGTTCAAGGTTTATTTTTTTTCCCTTTTTCTCATAATCCTGCCGGGCTGGGGAGGTCCCTGCCTCAGTGCCACCCTCGATACCACCACGAGAGCCTGTGCTCTAGCCACCACCAGCAGCAGGGAGCTGATGCTCCGGGCAAGCCCAGGGGCTTCCAGCACCCCTGCCACCGTGTTTCACACCAGCTTTTCCCTGACCTCAGCTGTCTCATGCCAGGGTTCCCTTAATACAAATGCCCTGGGCTTGGCTCCCTTACTTCAGCCTCTTCTGTCTTAAAGATTAACAGAGGAGGATAAACTGAGATCAGATGTGAAGCTTGCTGAAGTGCAGTGGAGGGGTTCCCGCTGGCTCAGTGGGCTGGGGGTTATTTTGTTGGGCTCTAAGATCTTTCTGCCTTAGGTGGAAATTCTACCTGAGGTCAGGTCTGGGGATCTTCTAGCTCTTTCTTTTATTTCTGACAGCCTGGAGGAACCAACTGAGGCAATCATGGTTGCTACCGATGACTGAGCTCCTGCTAAATCAAAGGGCCAGAAGGATGCACACACTAAGGCACAAACCCTGGGAGCACATACTCTGTGTGATGGGGCAGTGCACGTTTTCCCTCTCCTTTAAAAAGGTTTGTCCTCGCTTTTCAGATTAACAGCTGATAGAAACAAGTGGTAAGAAGAGATCTTCCCAAAGCATTTACCTCTATGGATAGGTTCTGCAGGTGGTAAATATTCTGTAACCCTTGTGAGGTGAAATAGTCGATGCAGTTTGGACACCCCAATCCTGTTAAAAAACTGCAGAAAAAAATTTGGACAACAAAGTGGCATTAACTTCTGAGGATCAAAGCTGCACTCGCCACCGTCGCGGCGGGGGCAAAGCACCCGGGGCACGGGGGGCACGAGGGAGCTTTGGGGTGCTCCAGCCACCTGGGCAGGGTCCCGGCTGCAGCTCCTGCCATCCCAAGTGTGACTCACTGCCACCAACGTCAAAGTGAAGCACGGGATCGTGTTCATTCCTAAAACTAACTGGTTTTCCCTCCTGCTCAGCAGAGGTTTCAGCTCAGTGACTTACTCGGAATAACCTGAGGGAGCTCGAGCTCCTGGGGAGGGAGATGGGGCCGAGCCGTGGCAGGGTGGTGAGGCCAGCACACAGGGGTGGGGTGTCCTGCAGCTCTGTGCCTCTCACAAACAACCTCCCTGACTCCAGCAGGGCATCTGGCCAGATGTGTGTGGTCTTTTTAAAGACCGATATGTTAAAAGGTGGCTGTGGAGCTGGTAGTGTGTCCCTGATGGAATCAAGCCCTGTGGAGCCATTTCCAGACGTTGCTGGTGAGGAAGGGGAAGGGGGAGGTTCACAAAGCGACGTGCAGGAAGACTCTCCTTCGGATGCATCTAGTTTTTAGTGAGGCAGAGGTGGATTGCCCCCGTGGAGGGACACGAGGGCAACTAGAGGTTTCTAAGCAGCAGGTAGCTGGGCTTTGGATTCTGAGGTGAGGAGAATGGTCTGTGTGGTTTTGTGAGCAGTGATTTCTCAGCTGGGACCAGTGGCCAGTTGACCAGTTGCTAGACAGATGTGAAGGTTAGAGTGAGGGACAACAGCAGGAGAGGCCAGAGGACAAGACAGACGGACACTGGAGGGCTCCCCTACCTGACGAGGCTGGGGTCGGGGTTGTAGGGCGGCGGGGGGGTGCAGTGTGACCCGGACACCATGGACTGGGATGAGTGGCCCCCATTCATCTCTCCGTTGGGCTGCATGGGGTGACTGTTCAGCATCCCGGGGCCTAGGAGCAGAGCAAACAGACCCGTTAGACACCACCCTGACCACGACGACCCCCACGAGCCCCAGGGAGCACGGGCTCTGCCCACCCCCTGCCCGGCCAGCACCTTACCCATGGGCCCCAGGCTGGGCGTGGAGCTGGAGCTGTGCTGTGCCGGCTGCCCCACCAGCTGGTTGACAGAGGGCAGCTTGTTGATTCCTCCACCGTGAACTTTGTTCATGGGCGACAGGACGGGGCCGTAGGAGGAAGGTGTCTGCAGCTGGCTCCTGCTCGGGGAAAGCAACGGGGCGGTCGGGGGGCAGCGGGTGGGATGGAGCCACCCTGCCCTGTCCTGCTGCCCTCGGGCCGGGCAGGATCCCTGCGGGTGGGGGCCTAGAGCACAGCTCTGGTGAGGAGCAGCTGAGGGGTCTGGGGGTGCTGAGCCTGGAGCAAAGGAGGCTCAGGGGAGACCTTCTGGCTCTGCACAGCTCCTGACAGGAGCCTGGAGCCAGGGGGGCGTCGGGCTCTGCTCCCAAGGAACAAGGGACAGGACAAGAGGAAATGGCCTCAAGTTGCACCAGGAGAGGTTTAGGTTGGAGCTGAGGAACAATTTCTTCCCCAAAAGTGTTGTCCAGGGCTGTGCCAGGCTGCCCAGGGCAGTGGTGGAGTCCCCACCCCTGGAGGGGTTTAAAGGATGTGGAGATGTGGTGCTGAGGGACGTGAGTCAGAGGGGACCTGGCAGTGCTGGGGTTAGATTTGATGACATTACAGGTCTCCTCCAGCCCAGGGGTCTCGGACACAGGCTGTGGCACAGAAGAGCTGCTGTGCAGTGACAGT